TTTCGATTCTGCACATCTATATAATAGACCTTAAACTCGCCTGAATGGTACTTCGCTTTAGATAATTTCGTTCGCTCCAACATGTTCATAGATACTCTATATCTTCAGTTGGTCCCTGTTTTTGTTCCTCATCTTGTCGTCTATAAGGAAGTTTTTCAGTTCTTAAATATGCTCTTCCGTTCGTATTTGATTACACTTTGTTTCACCAGTTCGTTCAAAAGATCATCTGCTGCACCTTGACTCTCAAGATTGCCTGAGTAATCAGTCCATCCCAGCCTTCAGTATGTATTGCTTTAAATTCATTCTATGAAGACTCCCTGACTTTAATTCGTCTATAAGGACACCCTGCCCCACCTCAGCTCATTTATAGAGTTCGTCTATAGAGACTCCTTTCAGCTCGCCTATATAGTTTCCCTTTAGCTCTTCTATAGATGTTCCTTTCAGCTTGTCTGAAAAGGAAAACTTCAGCTTGTCTGAAATGCAAACTTCAGCTCGTCTATAGAGACTCCTTTCAGCCCATCTATTGACTCTCCCTTTAGCTCCTCTATAAAGACACCCTTCATCTCGTCTATAAAGACTTTCATTATCTCTTCTATAAAATCTATTTAAATCATTTACCACATTAATTTTTGTCCCACCGATCTTTGTAAAATAATGTATATAATTAATAGAAAATTCTTAAATAATAAAAAAAAAAAATAAAATAAAAAAATTATGTTCAAATAAATGTGTATGTTATTTAAATTCAAATGTTCAGTGTCCCTGATGTCCTTTCCGAATGCAAAACAGGAAAAAAATCCTATCACATGAACGCACCGGAACTTATTGCATACATAAACGCATATACACACACACAGACACGTTTATATACACACTATGTAAAATACTCCATTGTTTCCTCAAAACCCAAGAATTCAATTATTCTCGAAATAAGTACAAGAAGAAGAATAAATATAAAAAAAAACGAAAACAACGACACAATCTAAAAACTGTACAAGAAACGGAAACGGAGAAAACCCTGAGAACATCTCAAGAATGCACTAGAAATGGAACTGTAAAACACCGAGCTATGAAATGCTATAAAAACAGAGAACACTGGAAAAAGAACGACGTAAAAAAACTATTTATAATAGAAATATAATCATTATAATGGCATTTGTGCGTTCATGACACATACCAACAGAAATAGAGTCCTGGCCAAGGACCAATCGACTTTTTCAATAAGGGAAAATATGTTGGTGGCTATGTAGGGGTTTCAATGGAGAACAAGGAGAAGAAAACATGTACTGTCCAAGTTGCTGTGATAGAGACAAAACTTCATTCGGCTGTTGATAATCTTGGTAGAAGGGCACAACTCGTCCCTCCCTCCGTCTCAAGCAGAAAAGGTGTGCAAAAGAATGTTATCATCACCCTCTGCTTGATGGTGGGTATTATGGTCAACGACTTTCCGTTAAATATGCACACCAAAATGTCATAGACCGAACCGAACAGCATTGAGTTGTTTAACCCATTGTTAACAAGTTCATAATACTATTAGAGAAAATCTCGTTAGGTAAAAGTATTTCTATTTATTTTTCTCACATGGTAAATGTCATAAGTTTGTTATACCCTGCAAAAAGGGGGAGGGGCGTCCTTTTAACGCCAAGGAATTTTTACAACCCTATTAAGGGAATTTGATTTTAGCAAAAAAGCAAAGGAAATCTTAAAAGTATTTCTTTATTGCAAATTGAGTAAATATTTAAAAGGAAAAATGTGTGTGTGAAGGTTTGTGGAGTACACACGCTTAGAATGGAGTCTGTGAAAATTTAGAGGGTAATGTAATGTAAGATGGTATTTTATTAACTTCAAGAGGGAGAGAAGACGTGGAAACGGTTAATCAGGTTTCGGAAAGGGATTTCTAAACTTTTGTTATACATATATTTGAGATTATACTATACGGAATTTTTATAATCCATTGAAAATTCTGAACCTGTTCATTGTAAAAATTCGTTTTTCACAGATTCATGAATGAAATCGATCAACATGTTTGCCCTAATTAATTTTATATACTGCTCGGCATATATATTTCAACAAATGTGTTTCGTTTTAATTATTCCTCAGGAAGTTAGAGTTCAGTGAAAATTGCTTATGGTATCATCTGGTCGGCGATATCAGACTATACAGATCCGCACCGCTGGTTTATTAATAAATATTTTAGAATTAAAATTAGGTGTAAAGGGTTGGGTGCAATCAAAAAATATGTAAATTTCGGCCGGGTTTTTCGATTTTTGTTGTCTCAATCATAGGTATACTGGGAGGGATATTTGGAAATGAAAATTACTGCCGATTCGTTTAAAAGGGTGTCCAAAATCCTCTAAAATATCGAAAATTAAACAACGAACCTATGTTGATAACTTCATTAAAAAACGTATTCAAACTCTCCAAAATACCGAAAAGTTGGGGATGTTCAATAGGGCTTTCCTAAGTGGACTTATGAGAGTCTAAAATGTGTTGAATATATTGGATGGAGGGGTTCTCCTGTACGGAGGATGGTACGAATGATTGATTTTTGTGAAGAACATCATCCAGACCAATGCCTTGAAATAGATTTAATTCAAAAACCAGTAAGGAAAGTAGTAAAGTCGGACGGGGCCGACTATATGATACCCTTCACCACTATGGGTATATTAAACAGGACCATTAGCATGAAATTGGATGAAATAAAATATGTGATATTTATCTAAATGTGAATCTACCTAGATCTATCCATAAAGTATGTAAATCGACTTCAAACAAATATAAATAGGTCATCCGTTGGCCTATGTCTGTACTTCTAAAAAACGCAACTATATGAAACTTGGCAGACATCATTCTAGGCTCAATTAAGTACGTTATCCCACATTTCGTGCAAATCGAAGGATATTTAGGGACTTTGGGACACCATTTACATGAAATCGGACGAAACTATATATGGGAGCTATATCTAAATCTGGACCGACTTTCTCGAAACTTGGCAGACATCATTCTAGGCTCAATTAAGTACGTTATCCCAAATTTCGTGCATATCGAAGGATATATAGGGACTTTGGTGCACCATTTACATGAAATCGGACAAAACTATATATGGGAGCTATATCTAAATCTGGACCGATTTTCATCAAACTTGGCAGACATCATTCGAGGTTCAATTCAGTACGTTATGCCAAATTTCGTGCAAATCGAAAGATATATAGGGACTTTGGGGCACCATTTACATGAAATCGGACGAAACTATATGGGAGCTATATCTAAATTTGGACCGATTTTCTCGAAAGTTGGCAGACATCATTCTAGGTTCAATTCAGTACGTTATGCCAAATTTCGTGCAAATCGAAAGATATATAGGGACTTTGGTGCACCATTTACATGAAATCGGACGAAACTATATATGGGAGCTATATCTAAATCTGGACCGATTTTCTCGAAAGTTGGCAGACATCATTCTAGGCTCAATTCAGTACGTTATGCCAAATTTCGTGCAAATCGAAAGATATTTAGGGACTTTGGGGCACCATTTACATGAAATCGGACGAAACTATATATGGGCGCTATGTCTAAATCTGGACCGATTTTTACGAAACTTGGCAGACATCATTCTAGACCTAAATGATTAGGCTGCACCAAATTTCGTGCAAATCGAAAGATATGTAGGCACCGTTTACATTAAATCGGTAAAATATATATATGGGAGCTATATCTAAATCTGAACCGATTTTTCCCAATAGGGTTCGTCCTTGGGCCGAATAAGTGACCTATGCCAAATTTCATCCAATTCGGATCATAAATGCGACCTGTACTTTGTTTACAATTTAACATGGACAGACGGACAGACGGACGGACGGACGGACATGCATAAATCGACTTAGAAAGTGATTCTATCCATATTCTCAAAAGGAACCATGGGTCTATCTCGATTATTTTTGCCTGTTACAAACATATGCACAAAGACATAATACCCTGTACCACAGTGTGGTGAAGGGTATAAATATCCTGGTATTAAATAAATAGGTATTTTGGTCATAAGATCCCATTGGCCATATGAACCGCAACTTCTTAAAGAGTTACAATAATTTTTTTTAAGACTTTACATGAGTTCCTTATTCTTCACAGAATAAAGAAAACGATAACATCACGAACAAACACTGCCATATGTGATCATATGGTTGTGGTGGTGTTGATGTTGAAATGAAAATTTTTCAAAGAAATAGTTTAATAAACAACGCACTCTGCTCTATATAAAAATACGAAGAAAAATCTTTTCAAATTCAAAAGGAGTAATTGAATTATTCAACACACACACACTCGCATGCTTATTATTGTTATATATACAGCACTTGTACGTGGAGCATTGGGAAAATAAGAATTTTAATCTTGCAGTGAAATGGTGAGTTTTGCTGCCCTTCCTCTTCTATGAAAAATAACAGGCTAATAAAATAACATGGAAAACTTGTTCGGTAAGAGCTATGGAATAACGTTTTTAATTCCAGAAATTTTATATATTTGTATAAACAAATCTTTTTAAAATTAAAAAAAAAATAAATGTTAGAAATTTGGTATTTAAAAAAATTATTTCATTTGATTATTTGTCAACATAAAATTATGTATTCAACTTTAATGTACAACCTTCCCGTTGACCAAGTTCCTGGAATTGCTGTTTTCAAGTATATTTACTTTACCAAAACTCAAGGACACTGAACAGTTTTTCATAATGTTGTCAGAAAATTCAATAAGTAATATTATTTTAATAATCATAAATTATAATATCAAAGTTTATACGAAAAAAAACAAACTAAGGTCCAGGTTAGCAAACAATATGAGTTTCAAGAAAAAAATATTGTTTATGAAAAGAAAAAAAAGTTAAATTGTAACAAAAAAGGAATTAAAATAAAAAAATAAGAAAACTGAAAACCAAAACAAAAACAAAAGAACAAAAAAGGTGAGGGGTGAGGGGATGAGTATTACTTGCATGCAAACAAACGTACAATGGCCGGCCTATGTAGTACCCAAACACCCACTTTGGCCATTTGAGCTTGAACGCCCTTTGCCTGTAATCCTTTGACGGCTCCTTCAGCGTAGGCTGGACACTCAAAGTCCACAAAACCATAACCTGCAATAATATTGTTGTATGTGTGTTTGTTGAAAAGAGAAAATAGAAGGGGGAAGAAAGAGAGAGAAAAAAACGGAAATTATATTTCATTAAAATGTCAAAATATCATTATTATTGTCATTAATAAATAATCAAAACAAAATCAGAAACAAATGCCAATACCAAAAAGCTCCACACAACACCAAAATGCGGAAAATACGAAAAGCAACATTTTAATTACAAGCGCCATGCATTTTTAGTATAGCTTATAATTTACTAACATGCTAGAGTCAAATTATTTTCTATTATTATTATTTTCTAGTAGTAATAAATTATTTATAAATCTATTCTTACATACATACGTTTATTTTTTTTTTATAATATTGTAGGGTCTAAGAGAGCGCTATTTATTAAAAAATTATTATTAGTATAAACTACAACGCCATAACTTTTGACAGAGATGTCACATCGCTTAATGACATACCCCGTTTGAAGCGTCAGTCCAAGCAGTTTTTTACCATGAACCAATATACGCCACTCGAGCGCTCTGAAATAGTTGAAATTTACATTCAACAGAAGAAGTCAATTGTGAAAACTCAACGTGCTTTTAAAACATTAAAAATAATGTGAGAAATGCGCCTTCTAAGAACACTATTAAGCGTTTATATGAAAAATTTTCGACTGGTAAGGCTCTTTCTAATCTGTAGAGGCCATATAAAATTCGACCAAGGCGATCGGCCGAGAATATCGCTGCCGTACGAGCCAGTGTTGAGAGGTCCCCAAGAACATCCCAAAAACGCCGTTCTCAGCAGTTGGGCATGGCTCGGTCCACTTTACAACGGATTATTCGCTTTGATTTGCATTTTTTCCCGTACAAAATTAAATTGACGCAAAGAATGTTGCCTGCGGACAAGCCTCGTCGATTGGAATGGGCCCAAAGAGTCATCGAAATGGCCGAAGATGACGAGCAATTTTGGAACAAAATTATCATGTCCGATGAAGCCCATTGCACATTGAATGGGACCGTAAATAAGCAAAATTGCCGTTTATACGCCACTGAAAATCCTCAGGAGATTCAAGAAGTGCCTCTTCATGACGAAAAAGTCACAGTTTGGTGCGGCGTTAGTGCGAAAACGGTCATTGGGTCGTTTTTCTGAAAATGGCCAATCAGTTACCATCAATCAGGAGCGTTATCGCGACATGATGACCAATTTTGTGATCCCAATTATTCGTCGAAAGCGTATGAGGCAGTTCTGGTTTCAACAAGACGGCGCTCCACCGCCCACAAGTCGCATAACAATCGATTTTCTGAAGAATTTGTTTCCGGGCAGTTTGATGTCGAAAAGTGGTGATTTGGACTGCCCACCGCGTCCGATTTGACGCCACCTGACTTCTTGTTGTAGGGATATTTGAAGTCAAAGGTTTACTTTAACAAGCCAAGGACCGTAGAAGAGCTCAAGGACAACATTCGTGAAGAAATAGCCTCTATTCCGGCCGAAATGTTGGCAAAAACGATGGAAAATGCAGCAAAAAGGGCACAATACGTCATCAACGCCAGAAGCGGCCATTTGAGAGATATCATATTCAAAAATTGATGTAAACAAATCTACTTGGAACAAATTAAATGATTAACATTGCCATACGCCAAATTTTTATTTTTTTCTTTGATTTAATAAAAAAACATGGGTCCGTCGAATATGTATGTTTGCATTAAAATTGATTAATAATAAGGCATAAATCATAATTGAAATTAAATATTACGGCTAATGGGGGTATATAAACTTGGCTATGATAAAAATTTGCCTCATTTAAATATTGGTTTTTGACCCCAAGTTTCTTTGGACCAAATTCGTTTCAGGCAACTATGATTCAATTTACAGATGTCCGTCAGTCAGTTCGACTAACTCTCGAAGTTTGCCGCACAACTATGTGGTAAATGTATTATAGCTTTGTGTGGCTCCAAGTGTTCTTGTAAATCCGCGAAATATTGGCCTTGAACCAAGCTTTTTGTATACCAATCTTCATATATATAGACTAGCTGAGTTGATCTAACCATATTTGTCCGCCCGTCATTATGTCCGTCCGTTCATTATTATTATTTGGTCTATAGAGGGCCTCTATTTATTTAGGTTAATTTTTAGAGGATGGAATGGACCAAGAGGCCATAATAATGACCTGAACATCAAAAATTATACACGGGGAAGAGCAATTGGCCAACGAATAAGCATGAATGTTATAATGATGATCAGTCAATACTTAACAGGTCAAATGGTCTGAGCATTTGTGTGAAAATTACAACATTTTCACTCTGTGGCGTATTAAAGATATAGGGCCGATCTTTAAACCGCCTTGTAATTCTAAAAAAAGTTCCGATCAGATGATGACCGAGAACTTTATGTTTTCTAGACGCTTTAGAGGCCACAATGTGAAATCGAACACAGTAAATATAATACGGGGAAGATATCTGGACAACTAATTGACTGTTTTGATAATTATCGGTCAATGTTTAGGGAAACAAATCACCCAAGACATGATTCGGAAAAGATGATGAGCAAGGTGCAAATATCGCGAAATATTGCCTAGGCTCGAAACATAGATCCACAGAAAGATAGAGTGCAGGTGTAGTTTTTCAGGTTATGATATGATCGGTCCTGTCCGATTATACTGCTCCGCTCACTGGTCTAAGATATTGCAAGCGAAATGTGAAATGAATACACCCCCATACTTATGGTTTCAAGTAATTTTAATTTTTTAATTTTACTGTTCATATCGGCAAATATTCCACATTGAATCCACCTTGGAACCCATTTCCATATGGGCGAAGTATCAGAGGGGATAAATCTATATAGAAGTTATTTGCACTAAATCGAAATCAAAAAGTTGACCATCTTTTGGTCAGTGACCCAAGTAGGTTCGATAAAAATATTACGATATGGATCAAATTGGATACTTCATTCGCTTTACATGAAATTGATTTTTTTTCAAATTGTTGATCCTTTATGTACGGTGGACATATAGGTTTTATTTGTATACCCTACACAACTATGTTGTAAGGCTATTATAGCTTTGTGCAGCCCCCAAAGTTTGTAACGCCGCGAAATATTGGTCCTAGACCCACCTTTAAGTATACCGATCGTTCGACTAGTTTTTGTCATGTGTGTCCGTCCGTCCATTATATTTTGTAAACACGATACAGGCCACAGTTATGGACCAATCTTCACGAAATTTTGCATGTAGGATGGGTTCTGACCAATGAAGACCCCTATTTTTGTCAGTTTTTCTGGTAGCTCCAGGGATCGCAATTATGGCCCAAACACCGCAAATTTTTGCATGGAGAAGAGATCGGGCCAGAGAATAAACATGCATGTTTTGATAAAGATCGGTCAATATTTAGTGGGTCAAATGGGCCCTGACTTTTGTGTGAAGAATGACAAAATTTGTATTCTATAGCGTATGTATTTACCCCTGAAGAACAAAGACCCAAGAAGCTGATAGCATATCCAAGAGGAGTGCTTGACCTTTAAATTGATACCATTTATATGGTCGTATGTACTCAGATGTGGGAGTTACACTTAAATATTTACAGGTGCTTACGTACTGATATTATTTAGTAACCCATTAACACTAGAAGGCGGAAATATAGCTCTGATCGCTTTGAAATTTTCCATGAGGATCCAGGTATGGTCAAGGACCGATCATGATCAGATAATAATTTTGAGATGAAATGGACCGAAAATTTATTGTACCCTATGTTGTCAGGGTAACGCCGCGAAATATTGGACCTAGACCTACCTTTAAGTTTCTTGATGATCTCAGATAACTAATGGTACAAAGGTACATTCCACAACATATTTCACCACCTCAAAACTAGAACCACGAAGTAAATGTGAGAGTTTCATTATACGAAATATTATAATAACGCAAAATTTTGTTAACTTTTGAGGAATATTCAATGGTCGGCCCCGTCCGACTATACTACTTTCCTTACTGGTTTAATATTATGTAGATTTAATAAAATTATTACGATGTACAATAGAGGGAACAAACCGAATACTTCATTATATAATTGCTAGTGGACCGAAAGCCTCATCTTCGGAAATCTTTTAGATTTGGTAAAAATATTACATCGGAATTAATTCAGACTTGCAATTAGCTCGAAAAGATAAAGATTACAAACATTGAAAAGAAGTGGAGTGTTGTTAATAGCCTTAAAACGTTTGCAATGTTTGGATCAAATCGGATACGCCATTAGGACAAGGACCTGTTTTAAATGCTAATTTGGACTATTCTGAAAGGGTGGTACCGGACGTCATTTTTGGCCAATATAAGGCTTTGGTAATAATAGAAGATGGGATCTAAGCATGATTAAAATCCGCATGATATTGCACATTTATATACCAGAAGGAGTGGACCTATGGACACAATACAGACGGACATTCCTTAATCTACTTCAAATTTTCAAGATTACGAAGAGATACATTTTGTCATATTAAACCTTTATTTTATTGCAAAAGTATTGGAATTTAAGAAAATAAATATAATTGTTATCAATGGTAATATGAGAATTCCTCATTAACGCATCAGCGTATACACATCCGTAATATAAACCAGAACTCTCTTTTGTAAAACGATATTCAATTCGATTCGACAAGCAATCAAAATAAAATCATGTAAATAATAAAACCCCGTAATCTTATTACAATACTATGTAAATGGTGTTAAACAATTAACACTATTTGGCTTTTGAAAATATTGACTTGCACGAAAAACAGTACAATTAATTATATAAAATGGAAAATAAAATACAATTTATTGATTATATTTCCAATGAAAACTACGTACACACAACACATACACAGGCGCTACTATTCTAAAATACCAGAGTGCAATTTTACAATGAGATGAGTTATGATGAAAAAAGATAACATAAACTTTTAAATATCAAATAAAAAAAGAAAGTTAATTGAATGATAAAATAGAAAAATAATATGAAATATAAATAAAAACAGTAATAAATTTAATACAACTACTTAAATGAAACAAAGAAAGTTAAATTACAAATTAAACTACAAAAAAGAAAAACATTGATTTCACACATAGATCTAAAAATAACATCAATAAAATACAGATACACAAACATACACACAAGCACACATACACTCCCATTAAAAAAAAAAAATATAGTAAACAATGAATATATACAATAACAGAACGTAAATATCAATAATAACAATAAAAAGGAATTAAATAATTAACTTAACATTTGACTTTGTTATTCATTTCCGTTATTGTTGTTGGTCGTTGTATTTTTCTCTGTTCTCTTCGTTGTGGGTGAACAACAAAAACATCTCAACAACGATAATTGGCAAGGAATGAGCACCAAAGAAAACAAGAGGAACACATATTACATACACACCCACCCACCCAATTATTCTTCAATATACACAAACACACAGACAGACCCACACACACACACAACACCCATTCAATCACTCATTGTAATTCTGTAGATGAAAACACCAACACAAATACAAATATTATTAATAACAAACATTTACAAAAATACAACAACAACAAATATAAATAAATTTAATAATAAACGATAAATAAGAAATAAAAATTATTTAAAAAAGAAACGAAAACAGAAAACACAAACTAAAATTGATGGAGAAAATGGTGAAAAGCAAAAAATACCTTTACATTTATTTGTTGTTTTATCTAAAATAGCCTTTGTGGATATAATCGTTCCATATCTGTAAAAAAGAGTGGGGGGAGAGAGAGAGAAAAAAATATAAATCATCATTAATAATTGTTAAGTAATAAATATTTTTAATATTAACAACAAGTACAGTACAATCTCTATAATCGAGGGAATAATCTGGTTTTTAATATTATAAATTATTATTATAAATTATAAATATACCGGAGAGGACCGATATTTTTCATACGAGGTTTATTGATTATTCACAGAACTATGTTGTAAGTGTATCATAGCTTTATGTGGCCCCAACTTGTTTACAACACCGAGAAATATTGTTTCCAGATCCACCTTTTAGTATATCGACCATATCATAGCTATAGACACAAGGCCATATCATATCTCAACTAGCTGAGTCGATCTAGACAAGTGTGTCCGCCAGTCCATTATAATTTGTAAACAGGACCGATATTTTTGATACCAGGGTTATTCACACAACTATGTTGTAAGTGTATTATAGCTTTATGTGGCCCCAATTTGTTTACAACACCGCGAAATATTGTTCCCAGATCCACCTTTAAGTATATCGACCATCATATCTCAACTAGCTGAGTCGATCTAGCCAAGTGTGTCCGTCAGTCCATTATAATTTGTAAACACGATACAGGCCACAGTTATGGAGCAATCTTCACGAAATTTTGCATATAGGTTTAGTTCTGGCCACAAAATTTCCCTATCCGTTAATATTTAAGGGATCTAATGACCCAAAAATTATTTTTTGCCCGTTTTCCTTATGCCTCTAGAGGCCACAATTATGACCTAAACAAATAATTTTACATTGTGAAGGTGATTTCGAATATTCGGTTTAATAGTTTAGAAATTCATTTTCTGTGTATTTGCATCTATGTTATTAGAAAACTAGTAAGGAAAGTAGTAAATCCGGGCGGGGCCGACTATATTATACCCTTCACCACTTTGGGTATATTCAACGGATGAATGCTAATAGACGTCGAATTCTGCAACTTATACTAAATTTTTCATTTGTTCAGATATAGGGTTGCTTCTTACAATGGGACAAAATTACCTAAAATCGGGAGAAAATATATATAGAATCTCTATCCAAATCTGAACCGATTTCAAAACTTTCCACATTTTAAAACTTTGGTACGTTGTGCAAAATTTGTGTCCATTTTATGTAAAATCGGACGCAAAAATATATATGTATAAGCTATATCAAAATCTGAACCGATTTCAATGAGAATGACAGAGGTTAACTTATATTAACTACAGTTTATTGTTCAAAATTGTGTGGCAATCGGACAAACTGTGCACAATTTACATAAAATCGGAAGAAAAAATATATAGGAGCTATATATAAATCTTTACCGATTTTCTGGAAACTTTACACACATCACACCAGACTCATTTCAGTACGCTATGCCAAATTTCGTGCAAATCGAAAGATATATAAGGACTTTGGACACCATTTACCTTAAATCGGACGAAAATATATATGGGAGTTATATTTAAATCTGAACCGATTTTCAGGAAACTTAACACACATCATTTTAGACCTAATTCATTTCGCTATAACAAATTTCGGGCAAATCAAAATATATATAGGGACTTTGGTACACCATTTACATTTAATCGGACGAAGATATATATGGGAGCTATATTTAAATCTGAACCGATTTCCAGGAAACTTAACACACATCATTCTAGACCTAATCCATTTCGCTATGCCAAATTTCGGGCAAATTAAAATATATAGGGACTTTGGTACATCATTTACCTTAAATCGGACGAAGATATATATGGGAGCTATATTTAAATCCAAATTCAATAGGGTTCGTCCTTGGGCCAATTAAGTGACCTGTGCCAAATTTCATCCAAATCGGATCATAAATGCGACCTGTACCTTGTTAACAAAAATACATGGACAGACAGGCGGACGGACATGCATAAATCGACTCAGAAAGTGATTATATGCATATTCTCAAAAGGAACCGTGGATCTATCTCGATTATTTTTGCCTGTTACAAACATATGCACAAAGACATAATACCCTGTATCACAGTGTGGTGAAGGGTATAAAAATCGCACGAATCTGACAGTACTACATAATAAGGAATGTATACTGAACACATACAGTGACAAGAAACGGGTAAAATTGAGAATGTACCAATAAAACGTTAAAATATCGATTTATCGTCTTTTAGGAGGGTTGTTTTGGTAAATATTCGGTCAATATTTAGCGGGTCAAATGAACCAAGATCTTTGTGTGTAAAATAAAAAAGGTTGAATCTTATGACGTAAATGTTGACTCAGGTAAAATAGGAGTCGAAAATGATGCCAGGATAACAAAGAGAGACTGTAGACCTCTAATTGAACAAGAGTGTGTAAATATCTCCCTAGCTCGGAATATAGACCCCGCAGAAAATTAGGGTTCAGTGATAGTTGTGTAGGGTATCATATGGTCGGCTCCGTTCGATTATACAGCTCCGGCCATTGGTTTTATATTAAGTAGATCCCTCTGGGAGCCGAAACTTTTGAACCTAAACAGAGTAAAAACGATAATACACTAGGAATAAAAATCTGATTAACCGACATTTTTAGCGGTTAAACGATACAGCATCATTGTCGGCGTTTGGAAGGTTTCAAACATATTTTCCGAACAAAGTATCTGTAATTTAGCATTCCGAGTTCTCAGAGAATAATTTTCTAAATAATAATTATTAATATTGATCGTTGTTTTATAACTGGAATTTTGGGTTCTAAGGGTAATAAACAATACGATTCAATAGAATTTTATATTAATTTATTTTAGTGACGAATCAAAGACACCTGCCATATTTTAGGAAATTTTGAATCCTTATCACTTTTTCTTCGAACAAAAGTGACTGCAATTTCACATTTTTGGTTCTCAAAGGTAATATATGTTCTTTATAGAATATAGTTGTTCATGTTTTGAGGTCACGCCCCATTTGGTACTAGGAAGGTACTCGATACAATTAGCCACCAAATTATCTGTAATTTGTTATTTTGGGATCTCAGAAAGCAATAGGTCTCATATATGAGGATGTGCTTCATTTTAGGTACTTTGAAGGTCCTAACCGCAATTTTCAACACAACTAATGTGTTGTGTTGTTCATTGTGGCAAAAAAAAAAAAAAAAAAAAAACAAATCGTGAACCACACATTCACATAAAGATGAATATATTTGACCTTATTTCGAGGCAAAAGGTCACCTCTTTCTGATCATGTGGCGAATTTTCCGATCCGTCCAAAAGGAAGATGTTCTTCCGAATTATCAAAGATCAATCAATATTTGCTACGCTTTAATCGGCAACAACCTAGTGATTAGTTGAGCCATATAGGTTTGCTTTGGAAAGCAGATGTAAAGTTTTCCCACATCGATGAAAAGTTTTTTTTTCAGTAGTAAACTTCCGAATATCATTCATAGCGGCTACAGCTATTATTTTTAGTCAGCCAGATTCTTCTCCACTGATTTTTAACCATTTGTGGAACTTATCTTATTGGAGGCTCTAGATTAAAAGCGGTTAAAATAACCACTGAAAAGCTTTATCCTGTCTGGCGTATATATTTTTCGAGTGCTCTGCAGTTCCTCCATTTCCAAAAATTTAGTAAATGCCAAATATAATGGGTTTATTGAAATCGCATTTCGTTGGAAAATAAGCCAAATCCAACTTCTTAGTCAGGTATACATTTATACATTTCTTTCTACAGCTCTGGTTAAAATAACCAGTATCTTGTCTGGCGGATACATTTTTCGAGTGCTCTGTACCATTTCTAAGTAGAACAAAATCAGTATCGATTTTATGGCAAGACTAATTTAGATTCTTTTATTTATTCATAACTATTTCTATTCTCCCATTTATTTGAGAACCCCATAAATACTTAGTCCCTACAGTTTCACGTTTCATAAACAAACTTGTTGTTGCTGTTGACTGTGGTCATGTACAAGTTGATAAATCACAACTGTTCTAAGAAATCTTTCCAACAAAACAATGCAAAAAAACACTTCGATGTTATTCTTAGAAAAATATAATTGCATGTTGAAAACAAAAAACCTAGAAAAAGTAAGATTTGTGCTATGGGTAATAGAGTTTATAAGTGGATGAAGAAAAGTAGTAAGTAATGCAAAACAAAAAGCCATAGACATAAAAAACTAAGGTTAAAAAATAGAAACTTAATGAGTGAAAAATTGAGGTATGACTTCGAGCCAATTGGGTATAAGAAATAGACAAATACAGCGGGAGTGTAAGCCCTGTTCGTAATGCATTTGGAACGACTGAAAAACAAATGTGGCAATTATCCTCCTTACAGCTTTTTAAATTAAACTGATCACGAAAAAATCAATTCAATCTTCATTGTATTCACTTCCAGAAAGGAAAACTTTCTGATTGGCATATTGTTCATTTGCTACAACACCGATATAAATCAGAAATCGTGATTTTTGAGTTAATGATGCAGAAGCTGCAAAAGTTTCTATATTCCTTGTAAGGCTATTGAACACTTAAAACACATTTTCTGCAAAATAAATTTTTGATTGATTTATACCGGTCTTGCAGCATTGAGTGACATTTCAGGCACTTCGATTAGAATCTTCAAATATCGAAAATTGGACGGGCTATGCCAACAAATGATTCTACATGGATCAAATTCAGCAAATATGCCATTGAAGAGCCTGGAATGTCCAATAAATCGACTTTGGTTGGAAAAAGTAAGGCTGAAATATTCAATATACCGAAAATGTGAGAGACCTTTACATGCGGACAATGTCAAAATATGGACAGTATCTGTAGGGATTTATGTCACCATTCAGGAAATTAAAAATGCCAAATTACAGCTACTTCCCTTAAGGACCCGAAATGCGGATATATACAGAAAATTTCGGTCGTTCAAAAAAAGTCATTCACAACTCCTATATAAATCGAAAACCTATTTTTTCACTAAAAAAAAGGATCTTCTATAATATACATCTGGGTTCTTACATTCTATAAAAATAAAAATAACTTTTGGTCTACTTTAAAAAGGCCTTCTGACATTCTATAAAAAATAACTCCTCGTATTTCATTAAAAAGTACTTCTGGTGTTATAAAAGAAGACCTCCATTCTGGTCTTCTATCTGGCATCTGGCTTCTCTAAGCGAATACCTCCCATTTTTCTAAGAGATAACTTCCTGATCTCCTATAAGAAAACTTGCAGGTCCTCCTGTTCCTTTATTAAAATACCTTATCGACTTCTAAAATAAGCCCTTCTGTATGAAGTGTTTGCTCTGTTATCCTATAAACGACCTTACCCTTGCCCGACCTTCTTATTTTCTATAGAAAGGCCTTCTTGATAGAAAAAATAATAAGTTATGGTTTCTTTCGTCTATAATAAGATTTTCTCTTCGTTCGTAACGTCATTGCCCGAATTTTTAGGTATTTTTTTATTTTTCAGGTAGAGGATATTACAAATTTGTCCCGTTCGAAATTGGCGATGTTTTTACTTGTTTTACTAAAGACTTGCATTTTTTAAGATCGTAGTGAGCGTAAAGGACAATATTTTACGATTGTAAATGTATATCGTATTTGAGGGACCTAGTCATATTCTCTTAAGGAATTTATTTTCCTAAAATTTGAATTATTAATTCAGTTTTTGATCGACGTTTCTTCGCAGAAAATTTGCAATATAGGTCTATGTCTTCAAATAGTCCCCGTATAAAGTTCCTGTCATATTTTCGGCATTTTGAAGGAATCGAACCGGTGGTACTGTAATTTTTGCAGTCCGGAAGGGTTAAAAACTTCTTTCCGACAATTTTCAATGTACATATGTCTAAATTTTGGTCCAACAATATTTTCATAAAATTTTTATACCCTTAACCACAATGTGGTACAGAGTATCATGTCTTTGTGCACATGTTTGTAACAGACAAAAATAATCGAGATAGACCCATGGTTCCTTTTGAGAATATGCATAGAATCACTTTCTGAATCGAGTTATGCATGTCCGTCCGTCCGTCCGCCCGTCTGTCTGTCTGTCCATGTTAAATTGTAAACAAAGTACAGATCGCATTTATGATTCGAATTGGATGAAATTTGGCACAGCTCATTTGTTTGGCCAAAGGACGAACCCTATTGAAATTGGGAAAAATCGGTTCAGATTTAGATATAGCTCCCATATATATTTTCGTCCGATTTAAGGTAAGTGGTGTACCAAAGTCCCCATATATCTTCCGATTTGGACGAAATTTGGCACAGCGTAATGAATAGGGTCTAAAATGATGTATGTCAAGTTTCGTGAAAATCGATTCTGATTTAGATATAGCTCCCATATATACCTTCGTTTGATTTAGATATAGCTCCCATATATACCTTCGTCTGATTTAAGGTAAATGGTGTACCAATGCCCCAATATATCTTTCGATTTGCACGAAAGTTGGCATAGCGTACAGAATTAAGTCTAGAATGATGTGTGCTAGGTTTCATGAAAATCGGTTCAGATTTAGATATAGCTCCCATATATATCTTCGTCCGATTTAAGGTAAATGGTGTACCAAAGTACCTATATATCTTTCGATTTGCACGAAATTTGGCATAGCGTACTGATTTAAGTCTAGAATGATGTGTGCTAAGTTTTGTGAAAATCGGTTCAGATTTTGATATAGCTCCCATATAAAGTTTCGCCCGATTTTAGGTAAATGGTTCACCAAAGTCTCTGGAAATCGTCTCTTTTGCACGAATTTTGGCATAGCGTTCTGAATTAAGTGTAGAATGTTTCCCTGAAATCGGTTCAGATATAGATATATAACAAAGACGCGACGTCTGTTAGGATATATATGTAGAATATATCCAAAGTGGTGAAGGGTATCATATAGTCGGCCCAGTCCGACGTTACTACTTTCCTTACTGGTTTGAGAATAAAATTTTGAAAGTTGATATGGGTTTTATTAAGGAATGTGTAATTTCCAAATTCACAAATGGAAGTAACTCTTTTGTAAAAAACCTATAGGTTTTTAATGGGTTTACGACATTTCTGACGTATTATACCTCGGAAATGTATGTAATTTACGTTACTATTTCCGACAGGCCATATTTGTAGGGCACAAACATATGCACCTCGCAACATATTATATAGTTTAAATAATGTTTGGATCAGACCGTCTTTATTTCATTAATAAGTAAAAATTAATAAACTAAAGTTATTTCACAGTTTTTTTTTTTTTTTTAAATAAAATTAACAATGGAAATACTTACTGTGCACACATAGTAACTAAATCTTTATCGGTTGTGCCTTGCTGTAAACCCCGTATATATAAATTTGTTTTCGACAATTGTTCGCCTTGATGATTCTGTGTTGTACCATTGTTAGGACCCATTGTTGTTGTATTTGTATTGGTATTGCTTAGACTAGTACTTAATGTTCCGCTCTGGGATCCGGTATTTGATGAGCTGCTTGAATTTGTATTACTTGGTGAAGTTGCTGTGGGTACACGCTGACCGTACTGAAAAAAAAACGATAGGAAAACAATGAGTGATTGTGAATAATTAGTGATATTTATGAATAATAATTAAATATTGAAAACCAAAACAAACAAAAAATCAATATAACATTATTTATTCATTCATATGCAAAGAAATGCGAGTATATTACATTTTCATATATTTCATATTGAGGGCAGAAAAAAAAACAGAACGCCAATTAATCAAATTCCTGTTTGTTTGCAATATTTGCCAAAAATAAAAAAAAACTTTTTCTCCCGTTCGTTAAAATGAAAATGCTTTAGGCCATTGTTGAACGAAAACAAATTACATCCATATCTGCAACAGTTTTAATATTTTCTTTTTGTTTTCGTTTGCCAATAGCCCTTAGATGTGTTGGTGTTGCTGCGACGCTGTGGCCACTGTTCCGATAATCATGTAGTATAACAGGTGTTCAATAATTTATAAATTTGCTTTTGGGTCCTCCATAGAATTAAAGAAAAAAAAGAAAAAAACAAATTTACGCAAATGTTTTCAAATTTCAAAGTATAGCAAAAAGAGGAAAACAGCGTTTGGAATAATATCGGATAGTCAAACACTTGCACATACATCATCCGTTGAACATCTGGGGCATATAGAACGTGATATAATGTTTTCCGTTTTTGCAATGGAGGCGAATTGTTGTTGTTGCTGCTCAGTGCATGCTCGCCTATAGTATCAAATTATCAAATGCCGATTTTGGCATAATAAATTTACTGGAAGTATTAGTGTGTGATTATGTTTTTTTTTTGTTGTAATAAAAAAGATTATGGCCGTTAGGGCTGTGAGATAAAAAATGAATATTAGTTAAGGGAAATTTTACGTTGTATACTGATAAAGACACAGCATTGAAAGAAAAATCTACCAAAAATATTTGTAAAAAATCCCCACTCACGTACTTGAATTTGTGTAATTGTCACTCGAGTCAAATCGCTAAGTTTCTTAACCAAATTAAAAAAAGGCATGCTCGTGGTTTGTCCTTGAGAAATTATTTTCACGAACTTTAGGCTTGAGTCAGGTCCTTTAGAAAACGTTGAAAAAACTGACCCTGGTGATAATCCCTTTAGGCAAAACAAATCTAAATATTGTCTGACCATTGAATAGAAATTTAAAATTATTGACTGTATCTATGCTCAAGCAACGAGATATGAAATTGATCATGTTGTGATAGACGGAAGGCATTCATCCAGTGTTTTAGACGTCCGATCGATCCGAGGAGCGAATATCGATTCGGACCATTACCTTGTGGCACCCGTCTTAATGTAGCAGCAAAGGTGCGATCTAACACAACACGGAAACTCGACGTCGAAAAGCTGCAAACACAACAGGTAGCCGAGGCCTACTCCGCTCAACTTACCCATCTGCTTGAAGAAAAAACTCCTTGTCCCGATAATAGTATAGAAACACAATGGCAAAGAATTGTCCACTTCCTACAAACTGCAGCAAAAGCAACACTTGGGTATCAAAAACCACCACCAAGAAACCCATGGTACGATCAGGAGTGTCGTAATGCTACTGATGTGAAAAACGCAGCGTATAGGGCAACCCTGCAGACAGTAGCAACAGGTAACGTGATGGAGAATCACTGGGAGAAAATGAGAGAGGAGAAACGTGTTTTCAGAAAAAAAGAAGAAAGAACACGAAAAACGTGAGCGTGAGCAAATCGAGATGTACAGGAGTCAGAATGAAGTCCGGAAATTTTACCAACGAGTAAAACACCAAACCGAAGGCTTTGGTGCAGCACATCCTCCTGTAGAGAAGAAGCACAATGGCAAAGAATTGCCTACTTCCTACAAACTGCAGCAAAAGCAACACTTGGGTATCAAAAACCACCACCAAGAAACCCATGGTACGATCAGCTGCGTCGTAATGCTACTGATGTGAAAAAAGCAGCGTATAGGGCAACCCTGCAGACAGTAGCAACACGTAACGTGATGGAGAATTATCGGGAGAAAAGGAGAGAGGAGAAACGCGTTTTCAGAAAAAAAAGAAGAAAGAACACGAAAAACGTGAGCGTGAGCAAATCGAGATGTAAAGGAGTCAGAATGAAGTCCGGAAATTTTACCAACGAGTAAAACACCAAACCGAAGGCTTTGGTGCAGGCACATCCTCCTGTAGAGATGAGGAAGGAAACCTGGTGACAGATACAGACAGCGTGTTGAGGATCTGGAAGGAGCATTTTGAAAAGCTTCTGGTATTAAATAGTGGTGTTGAAGAAGATACCCTAGAACCAATAAGAGATGATGGTATAGAGTGTATACCACCTAGCCAAGATGAGGTCATAAAAGCAATTAATCGACTCAAGAACAACAAAGCAGTAGGAGCCGATGGGCTACCAGTCGAACTATTCAAGACTGGTGGCCAGATGCTGGTCAGGAGCATGCACCAGCTGATTAGTATAATTTGGTTAGATGAATGCATGTCCAATGATTGGATCCTCAGCATCCTGTGTCCCGTGCACAACAAAGGAGACAAGACGATATGTGCTAACTATAGAGGAATAAGACAACTTCCCATCGCATATAAAGTGCTATCCAGTGTGCTGTGTGAACGATTGAAGCCAATGGTCAATGACATCATTGGACCATACCAGTGCGGCTTCAGACCTGGCAAATCCACCATTGACCAGATTTTCACTCTGAGCCAAATCCTGGAAAAGACTCACGAAAAACACATCGACACATACCATCTATTTGTCGACTATAAAGCCGCATTCGACAGCCCTATCCGTTCAGAGGTGTTTAAAGCCATGTCTACGTTCGGCATTCCTGCAAAATTAATACGGCTATGCAGGACAACTTTAAGTGGCACAAGATCAGCAGTTAAAGTAGGAAAGGACCTATTGGAGCTCTTCAATACCGAACGAGGTGACAGTTTGTTGTGTGATATTTCTAACATCCTACTGGAAAAGGTCATACAAGACGCAAAGGTGAACAGAAATGGCACTCTGTACACCAAACAACACATGTTACTCGCCTACGCCGATGACATCGATATAATGGGTCGAACATTGCGAGCGGTAACAGCCACGTTTGAACAAATTGAAAATGAGTCTGCCAAAGTGGGTCTGGCAGTAAACGGCGAGAAGACTAAGCTGATGGTATCAACGCGTAAGACGTCCAGTAGAATCGGACCAACTGTGGAACTTGAGAACTACAGCTTCGAGGTAGTTAAAGACTTTATATATCTTGGTACCACCATAAACGAATGACATCAGTTTAGAAATTCGGAGAAGGATTGTGATGGCCAACCGATGGTACTATGGTCTGAGCAAACAACTCAAAAGCAAGGCAACCTCCCGCCAGACCAAACTCGCACTTTACAAGACGTTGATACTACCCGTGCTATTATATGGATCAGAAGCATGGGTACTTGCGTAAGCAGATGAGGCAGATCTTGGGGTGTTTGAAAGAAAAATTCTCCGAAAGATCTAGAGAAAATTATTGTTTCACCAATTCAGTATGCACCCAATAAACCCATAGAAGCTGCGTAATTTAGAATTATTTAATTTTTGTCACTTATCTAATAAGCGGATCTCCATGAAATTGGGTTAATGTGAATGTGGTACAAACTGTTCATTTGATGGCTATACAACAATGTTGTAATTGTGTCATCGAAAAATGTTCTTAGAATGCTTTTAGTGTAACTGGAAATGTAATTAAATAAAATGTTGAAAAAAATAACGAATTCTTAGAATTCAACTACAATACGCAATTGGATATGTCGAGCAATTTATGCGAGCATGCTGCTGTAAAACGCATATTAATATGCTACACATCAAGAGAGAATACATTAATATCATTTACAAAATATAATATCGTCAACAATGGCGGCAGTGACGACGACGATGATAATAATGATGTTAGATGCCTGGCGTTGATGTAAAAATCTAAAACCACACGCACTCACATATTAGACACACATTTACACATTCAATGACTGAAAATTGCGTAGAACTATGGGCCCGCTGCAAATATATTATCAACAAATGGTTTTTGAAAACTATTCTATATGAAATGTTACTGCAGCAATATATGCTTCTGAACGTGTGTGTGTGTCTGTGTGTAAATTAGAAGAAATAAAACTATAACATGAAATAATATGACAGACGCATAATTTTCATATCATGTCAATGCATAAAATTCCAAAATGGATTAATGTGTCATAGCGTAATGTCAGCCACTGCTACTGACTGATATTTGGAAAAGCCTGCAGATATGAGCATGTAGCATTAGTTACACATGAAATCCATTAAATATTCTATTATGTGTGTTTAGATAATTCTATGAGGAAAAATCATGAAATTTATTATAGGACGTCGTTTAGGGAGTAGGAGGTATTAGATTTGTAAATTAAATTATGTCTATGTCACTTTTACACTTAGAAAATATTCTTTAAAAATCTACGCCTTGTTTAGCCTCCTTTAAAGATCTACGCGTTGTTTAGCCTTCTTTAAAAATGCATGTCTTTCTTAAAAAATCCATGCCTTTTTTAGCCTTAAAAAATAATTTTAAAAAATCCACATCTTGAGAGAAGCCTTGAAGCCTTGAAAAAATATTCTTTAAACAAATCCAAAAAAATAAAGAATGATCCAAGAAAGGAATGATTCACGCCTTGTTAGCCTTGAAAAAAATATTCTAAAAAATCCACGCCTTGTTTAGACCTAAAAATGATTCTTTAAAAAAATCCACGCCTTGCGTAGCCTTGAAAACAAAATCCACGCCTTGTTTAGCCTTGAAAAAATGATTCTTTAAAAAGCCCACGCCTTGTGTAGTCCTGAAAAAATGATTCTTTAAAAAGCCCACGCCTTGTGTAGTCCTGAAAAAATGATTCTTTAAAAAGCCCACGCCTTGTGTAGTCCTGAAAAAATGATTCTTTAAAAAGCCCACGCCTTGTGTAGTCTTGAAAAAATGATTCTTTAAAAAGCCCACGCCTTGTGTAGTCCTGAAAAAATGATTCTTTAAAAAGTCCACGCTTTGTGTAGTCCT